AGTAGGAACAAAATGATTTTATGGTTGGGGGTCGCCGTGACACGAGGAACTGTATTAGGTCCCAACGTTAGGAAAGTTGAGAACCCCTGCTAGAACTTCCTTGCCTGGAGCGTGACATGGTGGCGCTCAGGCAAGAGACAGTCTCAGGGACCCAAGAAGAGGAGAACAGAAGCTTCTGGAATGCCAAAGAAGACAGCAGGGATTTCGGAGCTCAGGCCATGGTGGTGACAGGCAGCTATGCCCAGCAACCGCTAAGGCAAATTTAGAGCGCTTCACCCTTGCCGTACATCTGCTCAACACCGTGTGTATTTCCCACATCCCCTTTCACCACAACAAGGCAGGGCTGTGAAGCTTCTGAAGAAACTGAAGCCAGAGAGCACAGCACTCGGCCAATTAGCAGCGGGACGGAGAAGTGAGTTGGGGCAGACTAGGGACGTCTCTTAAGCATGTCTTAGCAAAGGAGTGTGGCCAGAGCTCAGATCCAGGCTTCCCCACTCCTGCTGCCCTGTGTTGCTCTTGAGAGCAGCATCAGTTCTTTGGTCAACTGAGCAGGACAGCACAGGCCCAGTGCCCAACACCGAGCAAAAATTTAAGCAATTATGGTGTTTAGTCACTGCCCCATGTCCACTAGAGCATACTTCTGCTCAAAAGAAAATGAATAGATGTAAATAAATTCATTTTTACTGAACAGATTATTATCACTTAAACTAAGAAACACCTCTTAAGGACACTTAGGGATTTCGTTTAAACATTTTACTCATCTTCAGGGTACCAGGAGTCTTCCTGTATCTCGTTCCCGGCAAGGGCATTCCACCTCCTCCTTCACCCTAAGCCTTTTTCCGCACAAGGGGCAGATCAGAGTGAGCCAAGTGTCCCTAGTCCACAATGGGTAAAAATGAGGTTCAGAGAAGAGCGAAGGGGCTGTGTGACCCACCCAACCACCCGGCAGACAATTACATAACCTGGGCCCTTTGCCCCCAGAGCTCTAAGAATAAGGGTGTCAGGCTTGGGTCGTCCCGGTGGATTCCCTGGCCCCAGCCCCACCCCACCTCTGCTTTGCTGTTTTCAAATGCGAAGATCCAATCAAACAGGCTGGCTGGGTAGTGGAGGGGGCCGATTTCCGGGGCCTGCGGTTGCTACACTCCACTTCCTTGTGATGACAGAAGTACTGTTTTTGAAACAGGAGGCCACTACCAAGCTCCTCAGGTCTCCACGCAGCCCGTAGAGGGCCCAGTTCCCAGATCTATAAGTTAGGCAGCATGGGGCATGGCTGGCACTGGATGGCACTGCTTAGCTTTGGGACCCTGAAGGCACCCCACGTGTAAGGACCCCACAACTTCTTCTGTCTTTACTCTCCTGGCTGCCCGACCAAGCCTTGATTAAAAATTTAGGCAGCCAAGATTTCAGAGCCGCCTAATACTTGGGAAGTAGCTGTAGCTGCAGTGAGAAGTCCCAGCGAGGGGGCAGGGGTGGAGTCTACCACTGCCCCCTGGGTCCCTCAGGAGCCTTAAGGGCTGGTTGTGGGGCTAGCCAAGGCACCTCCCCCTCCCCAGCACACTAAAGGAAGGAAGCTGAGCAGAGACAGGCAAAGATAAGGGGAAGGGGCTAGGCCATACCAAGGACTCTCCTTAGGGTGCGGCCCAGAGCTGGGGGCTTAAATGAATTTACCATGCAACTTGGTTTCCATCCCCAATTTTAACTATGCCAACTTGCACTTCTTGGCTGTTCCCCCTCACTTATGCCCCCCCCCCATTTGCAGGCCTCTGTTTTTGCAGCATGGTGCTTACAGCTATGCCTCCTCCCTCTCTGACCCTTCCCCCAACCCCCCCACCCCAGGTAAAGACCAGTTCAGCCTTTAGAGTACAGGGATTAACGGCTAAAAGGACCACAGGCGGATGGAGGGCTGGTTGGGAGTCTCTAGCCTGAGGTTGACTGGCCTGGATTCAGGGCACATGGGTCTGACTCCACCTAGCAGGGGAGACCACAATGTGAGGATCTGGGGGCTGCTCATACCTGGCCCTCTTCCCCACATCTTCAAAGCTCCCTCTCTGACTCCAGCAGTCCAGGCCTCCACGCAGCATTTTGGACATGGGCAGCTCCAACCCAGTTACAAGCCAAGAGCCCCAGGGTCCCCTTTTAACATCCCAGGGCCTCTCTTCTCCCACACACTCCTGATCAACCCTGTCTTGCTTGCTCCCAAGGCCAGATTAAACACGTGATTCTCATGGGAATTTACAAAGATGAGGAAGGACTTCCGGGAAGTCAGAAAGAGCTGAATTTGCCAGCAGCAGCTAGGAAACTTACGGTAATCTAGGCAATCCCACATCTTTGCTCCTTCTCATAAATGTGCCACTGGACGGTAGCCCCAAACCCAGTCCCTTCAGTGACACCAGTGATTTCTGAAGGTGGGTCACAGAGAATTCCCCTAAAGCACATCATTGGCACCTTCTGCTCCCTTTCCCAGCTCAGTCGCACCCTCAGCTCTCTGATTAGAACCTGGGTCCGGTCCAGGCATTGTCTGCCTTGAAGGGCCTTCTGCCCATTGAGGTCCAGCGTGTGCCGGGCTGGCTGATCAAGAGCGGGTGTGGGGGTAGTGGTTTATGAGTGGGCGGAGTTCTCACTGTGGTCAGTTGCCCCACAACTTCATCTACACAGGTGACCCCAGCTGGGAAAAGCGTCCCAAAGATCTGGGTGCAGAGGGCAGGCACCATCCCTTCGCTGTGGTCAAGGTCCCAGGAACCTCCTGATAGTGGTCGTGGGAAGGGAACACTAGCTTCTCCCTGACTCTCTACACAGGTGCCCATGCCCCTGGGCTCTTGAAATAGGAACTCCATATTTTACCATGCCAGGCCCAGACTGGGGAGTCTGAACTGAGGGGCTAAGGGCCTTTGTTTGGCCCTCTCCTGCAAAATGGAGTCTAAAGGAAAGCCCCCATGGATAGCGCACCCCACCTCCTGCCCTGTCAGTTCTGGTTCATACTGGTTGGGGTTAGGGTTCCGTTTTCTTTTTATGGTGGGTAGCTCGCCTTTCCCTGCCTGCTGTAAATACCATATTTACGCGGCTCACTCCCACCCTCACCATACGTTTCCCTCGACCTCCAAGGGTTCCCGCTGCAATGTCAGCCTCAATAGCAGCCTGGCTCCGCCCCACCAGCCCACCAGGCACCTGCAGGGCTCCTCTTTGTCTCAGGCTCTTCAGTGCCAGGACGAGAGTGCACAAGTGACTGGTCTAAGTGCTGTAGGAGGGGCTGGACCGGAGGCCCTCCGCCTCCCTCCCTCAGACCCGGAGCTTTACGCTGTCCCAGTGCCTTCTCTCTGGGTTACACAGGGCTGGTCAGGTGGCTGGAGGCACCTGCTTTGAAGCAGGAAGAGGGAAGCTATTCCATTGCTTTCTCTGATCTTGTCTAGAAGCAGCTTCCCAGGATCCCCGGAATCTGGGTCATCTCTAACCCCGGGGATCTGGAGATGGGTCTCAGAGACCCACCCTAGGCTTTGACTACTCCCCCGTCCCATTCTTCAAGACTGGAACAGAGACGAGCGCTCCTCTGGACATGCCTGAGTTGGTGACCAGCTCCTACATGGGCACTCTCTCAGTATGTCCTCAAAGAGAAGACCCCAGAACCAAATCAAGGGAGCTAGTGAACAGCATCTCCACCCAGCACAAAGAACACAGATGGTTCAACTTTGTAGCATTTCCTGCCCCTGCACCTGTGTGCAAAAGGCCCCACTCAGTCACAGTCCTTCCCCCTAATGTCTGCCCAATCACTTCTAGTACCTGCTGGTATTGGGAATGGGACTCCAGATAAACATAGGGGTCCTCCCGGCTTGCTCAGTGTTACCTATGTGTCTGCTGTGAATGTAGCATTCGGGTCGTGCCACCCCTTTCACCCCTTCGGGGTAGTCCCTCGGATACACCTTTCCCTCCCTCTGCTAACTCCATCTCCTTTTGGGGCAGGACCAGCAGGGTTCTCTCCAAAAGCCATTGGCACCCTGTGGAAGGCCGAGGCACCATTCCAACCCTTTCATGGGTCCCACAACCGATCTTTGTCTGTAGTACCCGCTCCCAGGATGGTGAGCTGGATCAAGAGCAGAGAACTAGCTAACTAGGGTAGATGGGGGGAGGGGGGAGTTCCCTCCTATACCCCAGAATGAGACAGCAGCCTCATGGGGAGGCGAAGAGGAAACACACAGACGCTCCGGCCTGGGCCAGAGCTGGGTGTGAAATACCGGATTTCCTTGTTTATTCGATTTTCTGATCATTAAGGGCTCCCAAGAGGGGCCAGAAATTACCACCCAAACAAAGCCACCCTCCATCAGTCCGCAGGGCTGCTGCTCCCCTGAGGCAGCCGGGCCAGCGCGCGTCGGCCCCTCCTCCTGGACTGCGGGCTCCAGATCGAGCGGTGCCCGCGCCCCCCGCCCCGAGTCCACGCGAGACAAAGCCCGAGCCCCCCTCCTCGCACGCCCCTTCATCGCCATCGGCGCTCACCTGACGGCCACTTTGACGCAGCAGTCGCCCTGGCCAGCCATGGTCTTCTGGCACTAGGTCTGGGTGCGGATCAGGGGTGGGGGTCTGGGGGCCACTGCTCCAGGCAGCGGCTGTGGCTGCAGGAGGCGGAGGCACGGACACTGCTAGCGAAAGCGACCTCGCAGGCTGGAGGTGACATGCTCGCGGGAGGCGGCGAGGGGCTCACCCGCGGCCGGCCCCACGGGGCTGGTCCCGCGCGTCTCCTCCAGCCATCGCGCGGCGGCGCTGAGCTGGCTGACAGCGGGCGGGTGAGACCCGCAGCTCCCTACAGCGCGGCACACGCGCGCACACACCTCCCACCCTGGCCGCCACCTCCCGCCGCAGCGCGAACAAAGGGGGCGGGGGCCGAGCCGCCCCAGGACCCACCCCCAGCCCCTCAGAGCCGCATAGGGCTCCTCCCCTCCCTGGAGCCGCCAATAGAAGGCCCCAACGAGCAGCAGAGGCGGGACTTGAGCCTTTAAAGGGACCTCTTGGCTCGCGTCCACCGGGTTGCTGGGAGGGGCTGGTAGGATTGGAGGGCTTGGGGGTGAAGGCGGGAGTGGCATGATGTACTCGTCCTGGAACTTGACCATTCGGGAACCTCGGCCCTTGAATTCGTGGTACCTCAGCCTCAGGGACACCTTCCTTTCCTAAATGGGGAACGGGACTCAAAGAGGAACAGCCCAAGGTCATACAGCGAATCTGTGGCTTGGAGTGGGTAAGAACCCTGGCCTCTGGGCAGTGTGCTGCACCCAAGAGCATCCCACAGTGATTAGCAACTCGCAATTTGAAAAAACCAGAAAAGTATCCCTTCTGCATTTATTCCCGTAAATTCGTCAACCTTTACTGAAGGGGATTCTTGTTTATGTCTTAGTAAATTTCCCCAACTCCACCCTGCAACATCTTAAAAGCCCATCTTTTGATTGCAGGCCAGCTCAGACTCTTCCTACTAGACTAGGGTCCCATTGACCTTTATGACCCACAGATGACCCATTGGGCCTGGTTCACACTCTGCTTTGTGACCACGGGGGCAGAGGGTCAATGTGGGAGGCCAGAGCTGCCTAGGAAGTGGTAGGAACAAAAGGGCTTTAATTCCAGATACCTGGATGAGGCTGGATGGCAAAGTAGGTGGGAAGGGAAGGTGAAGGTCAGCAGCCACAAACACAAAGTTACATAAAAGACAGGGGGCAGCCCTGGAGACTTTAACAGCAGGCCTTGAGGGAGGAGAGGAGGCTGTGAAGTCACAGTTCCCTTTCCAGTTCACCTCCCCTCCCTCTGAGCCCCACTCCTCCCTGCCCCCCAACTCTCAACATTAGGGCCATTCACAGGGCCCCTCACCAGCTGCCCTCCCTTTCCTGGCTTCACCCAGCTCCCTCCTCTGGAAAAGGCCCAAGAGGACGACCCAGCTGCAGCTCAAGATGTGGATGGAGACCTCTGGGGGAGGGGAAACAGGGGAGCCTGGCTCCCCAGCTTCTTGCATCAGCCTCAGATGATGAAATCACCTCAGAGATTTTGGTAAGGGTGTGGGTTAGGGTCTCAAAGATCCAGTTCTTGGTGCTGTCACACACAACCGTCCCCACCCCCTACTCCATCTGTGACTGCTCTGCCCAGGAGCCCAGATCCCTGCCTGGAATAATTTTAAAGGGAAATGTCAAAGTTCTATCACTGTATTGTTTCTACTCTCTCAGCAAACAGGAGGAGAGCCATGCTCCAGAGTGGCAGGGGTGGTCTGGATAAGGATCCTGGTGGAATCCTGCATATTCATATCTGCATCTGACGCCAGTGAACCACATGTCTTAGAACAAGAGGCCGGCAGGGCATTGAGGCATTAAGACCTCCCCATCCTCCAACTGAAATGGATGGAGGGAGGTGAGTGGTGCTTGTGAGCCATCTGCACAGGCAGGTACTTCTTGTGTGTGTTCTTGTTCATCCTCCAACCTCGTGAGCTAGGTTCTAGTGCTCCTTTTCAATTTTGCAAGTGGGAAAATAGAGTCTTATAAGCAGCCGAGGATTTGAACTCACGCCTGTAGTTCTAGGCTTCCCATCACCACTAAGGGAATGCTTAAGGGGAAGGGAGCAGGACCGGCCTAGCTCTCCTTAAAGGAGCCACAGGCTACAGGCTTAGCCCTCCTGGATGATAATGTTGTGTTTTCATCAAAACGCTCTCCCTCCCATCCATCTCTGGACTTCTTTGGTCCTTACTTCTGGTTTCCTGTTTACCTTAGGTCTTCCCAGACTTCCACCAGTAGGTGACCCTTCTGACTCATAGTTCCACTGCTGGGAAATGCCACCAGAGCTGTCCCCCCCTGCATTCTCTGACGTCCAGGGTGAGCAAGGAGGCACATGGACTGCAGATTTGGGCCTCCTAGATAGTTTCAGGGTTCCAGTTACCCCCACACATCCCAGCAGCTCCCTCCTGGGCCATCAAGGAGCAGCTGGGTGGAGGAGGTTCAGACCCTGCCTCCTAGGCTCCGCTGTTCCAAAGTGAGGTCATATGGGGATCCGAGGTGAGAAAGAAGCTTATGCTTTGCAGTTTGGAGAGATTTAGATCAGGTCAGAGAAAGCCTAAAACAGTCTCTGCCCTCGTTGAGCCTTATCCGGCTTCAGCACTACTGCTGCTCTGTCGCCTTCCCACCTCCTACCTCTTCCCAGCTGCTCTTCTTCCTTCTCTTCTTTCTAAACCCTGAGGTCCCTCAGGGTCAGCTACTGTCTGCAGCCCTCAATGCTTCACACACACACATGCACACATACACACGCACGCACACACACACACACACACACACACACACCCCTGGCACACACCCATGACATCTCTCAGGATCGGCTACTGTATGCAGCCCCTTAATAACACACACATACACACACACACATGTTTCTCAGCATCAGCTACTGTGTACATATGCAGCCCTCAAAACTTCACACACACACACACACACACACACACACACTCATACACACACGGGGTGGGGGTGGGGGGGGGGAGAGAGAGAGAGAAAGAGAGAGCAAGCTGGCTCCAAGCCCCTAACTGGACTAGAGTATAAGCCATAAGCCTCGACTCCTATTCTGAGCTGAGTCCCTTCCCCCAGGCATCTTGGGTCCTCCATCATTTCTCCTGACAGGAGCTGTGGGCGTCTGGGCAGATGGGATCCTAGGGGAGGTGTGGGAAGCCCCCTCCAAGTCAGGAAGCTCCCACGCAACTGTAGTTAAAATACTCCAGCAGTGACTTAGGGCAGCCATCTGGCCCAGAGCTCTCTTAGACACATTCCACTTTTTAACAGTGATGCTGTGGGAACAAATAGAAACACTGAAGGGGATACCCATAGATACCAGAAATGTTCCCAAAGGTGGTCTCAACTTGAGTCTTCTCTCCCCACCCCCTTTCAGGGGTGGCCCCGGGGCAATAGCCTTGTAAAATCTAAATAAGCCCTGGTGTAAATGGTGGTGGTGGATACAGAACTTGAGTTCTAATCCCAGGCCTTTCCCAGCAGCTGTGTGGGGTTCCGTGGGAGCAGGGGCCTCAGCCTATTCTTCAACAGTGTCCTCAGCAGATGTCCATCTGCAACCTCAGTGTCCGTCCAGAGGCAGGGCCCGTTCTTCCCACCGACAGGAAGCTCAGGACCCCAGAAAAGGTCCACTGAGCTGCAGACTCAGGAGATCTGAGTGCAGACATGAACTGAGCCTCACTTCCTGTGTTTAGGAGGAGACAGGCTGAGCCACAGAGGAAACCAGAGTCTGTTATAAATAGCAAGGATGGCAGAGAGCTGTGGGTTTCAAACATCTATCAGTCTTAAAACAAACTCTATTTTTGGCTTCAAATATAATTAGGATTTAATTAATGCTCTATGTAGCCTCAAAAATATATCTATTTCTTTTATTTTTAAGACACGAAGCACAGGTAGCACTGAAACTCATGATCCTCCTGCCTCAGTTTCTAGATAACTCTAGGCATACCTCATTGTACGCAGTTCTCTGTCTCTCTCTCTCTCCAGATTTTGAGACAGGGTTTCTCGATGTAGCCCTGATTGTTTTAAACTCACTCTGTATTCCAGACTGGTGTTGACTCAGAGATCTGTCTGCCTCTGCCTCACAGTACTGGGACTAAAGGCATGCACCACAACCCTGCCGTGCGTGCATGGTTCTTTTTTTGGTTTTGGTTTTGGTTTTTGAGACAGGATTTCTCTGCAGCTTTGGAGCCTGTCCTGGAACTCGCTCTGCAGACCAGGCTGGCCTTGAACTCACAGAGATCCGCCTGCCTCTGTGCTGGGATTAAAGGCATGCGCCACCACTGGCTCCTGTACATGGTTCTTAATTAAACATGGTGATTTTACCTACCCTTCTCCTTCACTGTACCTTCTAACAGTATTAATGTGGCAATTTTCAATGTCACCAAGTCCTAAACTCAAAAAGAACCCCCCAGGACACATTTACCGCTAGTTTATTTTCAAGTGAAGGAACTGAGGCCCAAAGGAGGTAATGAGACTTGTTGAAAGTTGCATAGTACAGTAAGTTGGGGCTGAGCTGCAAGGCTGGAAGTCTGGTTGCTGTGCTGTCCCAGGGCAGGCTCCATGGCAGCATGGTAAGGACCCCAAGGCTAAACATCTGAAATTAGACTGTCGTAAGTTTATAGTCCTGACAAAACTTTGGTCTGAGTGAAATAACGAAAGACAGCCCAGAGGCTGAGTTGTGATCTTCTGAGTCACAGAGATCTGGGCTCCCATCCCAGTTCTTCCTCTTATGAGCTATGTAGCCCTGGGCCAGTGATGTAACCATACCCAGCATTAGCTCCCACATCGAGGAGAATCACGTTCTCATCTCGGGACCATTATGAAGTTACAGTGGGGGACCCTGCACCAAACCTCCCATCCAGTGCTTGCCTCAGAATAGGTGTCAAGCCTTCACATTGTCCTCGGGTTCTTCATCTTTTCTCCAGCAGACGCCACCTCTGTCTGGGCAGAGGGCTGGGTTTATTAAGAAGGAGTACCAGCCAGAGAGGTACCCTCAGGAGTGTGAGCAAGGCCGACAGGACACAGGTTATGAGGATGAGGTGTCATCGTGGGGGCTGGGATGGAGTTCAACCATGGGAGGCTTGCCCTGCATGCCTGGAGTCCTAGGTTCATCTGAACAGCCAGTGTGAGATCTGCTGGGTGGAGAGGGGAAGCTGCAGGAACTTACCCACTGTCTGTGCAGCAGCACAGTGGGAACCGGGTGCTTTCCAGGAAGAAACTTTAACCTTATGGCCCATTTCGGACACAGGTAATCCTGGACCACCTCCCTGGAGGCCGGCCCTCTGAAAGGGGAGAGTTTGTACTCTCACCCTGTAACCACGTTGGACTGTGTTACATACATGATCTCTACCCTCACGATCATCTAGGAGGTATACACTTATCATGCCTGTTTTGCAAAAGAGGAAATGGGCTCAAAGGTCCCTTGGCTAGGGTAGTAGTCGTTAGGGCTGTTCACATACTTCCTGTACTCAGCCTTCCTGCATAGGGAAGGCCTCCATGTCTTTAATCCCTGGGTCGTAAGTGGCCCTGTGACTTTAACCAATAAAAAGTGAAGCTGTCAGAGCCATCGTCACTGTCACGCCTGTGTTGTTCACAGACCATGCACGAGAAATAAACTTTTATTGTCTTCAACTGCTGACCTTGTGAGTTGTGTGTGGTCCTGGCAGAGCCTAACCTGCTCTGATACAGTTAGTGAAAGCAGACCCAGAGACCCAGAGACTGAAGATCTCCCATCTGTAAAGACACCAAAGGGCCCGAGTGATTTCCAGGGCCCTGGCCCACACACAGGTAGAAACCCCTTTTGAGTTCTGATCTCCTCAGCTGTTTAGAGGCAGATGGAAGGACACAGAAGTCTGAACATCTATCTCCGTTCATCCTGACTTGACTAGGATTTGACTTGGTTTCTCCGTCACTAGGTTGTGGTGACTGAAGAAATGTGTGGCTAAATATGAACCCTTTGGGGTCCCATGGTTCCCCGGGAGTTCAGGAGCCACCCTGTGAAGTCACTGGAAAACACCAAGGGCCTTTCTCTGCCTCTGCCTGTCATGTCAGTAGGAATGGTCCCCAGGTCGGATCCCAGGACATAGCTGTATTCATCTCTAGCTCAAAGACTGACCCTGTTCAGGACCCTTATTCCTTTGGGACTTAGTTATTCTCCAGTGAGATGGAGGTGCCACTCAGGGCCACAGGAACTGCTCAGAGATACAGGACAAACCTGTTCTAGAGCGTAAAAGTCTCAGAGGCACAAGCAAGATCATAACAGCTCCCATTTCTGAATGTTGGCCCGAACATGTGGTAAACGTTTCCACTTCATGCAGTAATATGATGCTCACAACCCCGGGAGGAATCATTATCCCCACAAAACAACCAGTCAAGTCATGGCGCAACTCACAGAACAGGGTTCAAACCCAAGCAAGAGGATGGTGATTTCATCTTGCGTTGAACTGCCATGATGGAAAAAGCTGGACCTGCCCTTGACCGCTAATGAGCTAAGAAAGTGAGCAGTGTATCCTGCGGACTCACCTGCTTTGAGTGTGTACGGGCATGAACACAACAGGTTTTGCTATCGGCCCACATGCTCACCAGCAGGGAATGGGTACACAAGCAGGCATAGTCATGATGGAATCCTATCCGGCAATGAAAAGGGATGAGCTACTGGCACATAACTGATGTAGACTAGATGAGTCTCAGTGGTACTCAGGGAAAGAAGCAAACCAAACAGCACACATGTTCCTAATAATGATAGAAATAGCCTAGAAAATAGAGTGAACCTGATGTATCAGAAAATAGATCAGTGGTAACCTGGCAGAAGAAGGGCTATGGGGCATGAAAAGGTCAAGAGGGGCTGCAAAGGGCCACAAAGAAAGTCTTTTGAGTAGTCGGTGTTTGCATTCAGGCATCTGAACTGGCCTGCCCTTGGGGTCCTGACAGGATACGTCCTTAGTTGCAGTCACTAAGAGCATCTCCTGTGCACATTCACTACTTCTCTTTTAAACATTTACCTCCCATCTCTCTCTCTCTTTCAGCTTCTCTGCCTGTCTCTCTGTCTCTTCCTTTTTCCTCTATCTCTCTTTCCTCTTTGGCTGCTCTTGTCCCCAGAGGCCTAGCTCTCCTCTCCCCTCCCCCGTTTTCCTATTCACCTTCCGCCATTAAAAGACCCCCCCGCCACCTGAGCTCGGTTGTGTGAGCATGACTTCTTTCTCTTTCCTGCCGTGCTTTTAAATAACAGTTGGTATGTATGTAAGGTAAAGATGATCTGACAGTTATGTGCATTTCTCAGGGCAAAGCAAACCATTGTATGTGCTGGACATGTGTTACTTACTTGGTTAATTTTACCTCAACAAGGCTGCTTTGTATGTGGAAGTCAAAGGTCATCATCTGGTATCTTCCGTAATTGCTCGCCGCCCTTTCTGAGACAGCCTCTCACTGAATCGAGATCACCCATTTGGCTAGGCTAGTTCAGCCAGCGAGCCATGGGGATCCACCTGCTTCCACTGTCTCGCCCATTCCTATCCCACTCCCTGAGCTGGGACTCCCTACAAGTGCCACATTATTGGGCTTTGTACTCGGGGGACTGGGACTCTAAACTCAAGTCTTCATGCTTAAATAAGCACTTTACCAACGGAGCCTCTCTCCTGCCCACTCTAGCTGTTTTTAAAAGCTAACGTACTTCAATTTCCTCTTTGCTCAGAGGTGCAGAGTGACTTATGACTTTTCTGGGGTCATGGAGGCAGAAGGCTGCAGTCCTAAACCCCTGAGGACCTCTCTCCCCTGAAGCACATGGGATAGGGGCTCAAAAAGATCCAGTAGCGGGGCAGTGACAGGGAAGTAGGAATGAGAGAATGAGGCAGGAGCAGGGTAGAAAGAAGAACTTCAGGAGGTCAGCCAGGACAAGCCAGATAAGGGAAGGGCGGTGGCGGGGCAGGGGACCAGATGAACCCGCTAGACCTGAAGACCAGCAGCAAGCTTCTCAAACGGATCTCCAGAGGCTCTAGGCTCTCCTGTTGACAGCACTTTCCCCTCGGATGAGGCCCTCAAAGGCCACTCCTGTCCTTGAGTTATTGATTTTCAGTCTCCCCAGACGCACCATTTCCTTGGCTCTCGTAGACATGTGTCTGGGCCAGGCGCTACCCAGCAAATAGCCAGCCCAGAAGTGCTTAACACTTTACATTCCAGGTTAACCTTGAAGGTGCCAGTTCTCCAGAAATGCAGCCAGCCTGAAGATGGTACTGGAACAGTATATGCTGGGTCTATGGCCTGTTTTTAGGAACAATTCAAAGGCCCTTTTACTGACAGTCAGCTGGCCGAGGTGATGTCACCCTTCAAAAGTTTGCCTGTGTCCTTCCTTAGCTCAGCGTTTTTTTGAAACTTGCGCCAGTGGACAGAAGAGGTGCGCTGCCCTAAGCAGAGTGTCAGCAAGGTCAAGGGAGGGTGCAGCAAAATGTGAAGGGACCTTTTTTCTTTTTCTTTTTCTTCCTCTCTGTAATCTCCAAAGTAAGTTGAAGGACCCAAAGGGAAGGCTCAGACTGGGTGGAGCAAAGACTTTTAAGTCAAAACCAAAATTAGAGAAAGCCCAGAGGGGCAGGTGGTGCACGCCTTTCCTCCCAGCCCCCAGGAGGCAAAGGCAGGCAGACCTCTGAGTTCAAGGTCAGCCTGGTCTACTAAGTGAGTTCTGGGACAGCCAGGGCTACACAGAGAAACCCTGTCTCTAAAATACAAAACAAGAAGTCCAGAGGAAGAGGCCCAGCCCCTGTGTCCCAGCTCTCCACTCCTGGGCTGATGTGGGTCCCTTTTGCTAACCAAGAAGAGAAGTGAATGCTGGGGGCAGGCCTTGGCTAATATCAGATCTCCCAAGGTCGGTCCAAGTGAGTCTTCCCCCACTTAGAGAGCCAGGAACAAGGCTGTAATGCCAGCTGTCAGGAGACTTGAGTTTGAAACCGGCAAGTGCCACATAGCCAAACCTTGTCTCAAAAATCGAATCAAAGCAAAACTACCAACATGCTTTGCACAGGACGCCCATCTTGGTGAGCTCTCTCCCAAGCCATT